GGAGTTCAGTGTCATTACTTACTAGTTATGTAATCTTGGGAAAGTCATCTAATTTCTCTTGATTTTAGCTATTTCATCTGTAAAATGCAGATAATAACAGAATACCTATCTCATAAGGATGTAGTAAAAATTAAATAAATTAATGTATGCAAACCTTTTAAAACAGTGTCTGGCACACACCCTGTACAAATGACTCTCTTGAATGGTTGTACTCATAAGTTCTACAATTTTAAGTTTCTTTAAAGTGAAACAAGATATAAAAGACACTTTCCCATTATCCAAAGTGAGGTGACACAAGATCAAAATAATGGGCTCCATATATGCTCGCCATCAAATTGGTACTGACTGATTAACACTATGGTGCTCAAAGGGTGGTGGTGTTCACCAGGGATTCGGGGGTTGGAGGGGTAGTCCAACATCTGAGGGATGTGGTGAACATTGTGGAGGGGCAGGGCATACCTCTAATCCTTGCTAGGGAGAGGCAGAGATATAAAATGTAACCAAAATGTTAAGAAAAAAAGAAAAACAAACATGTGTCGGGTGTGGGGCAGGTGGGAGGGGAAGAGGGGATGGGTATATACATACAATAGTGAGTGTGATTCACACCATCTGGGGGATGGACATGCTTGAAGCTCTGCCTCGAGGGGGGGAGAGGAGACAAGGGCAATGTATGTAACCTTAACGATTGTACCCCCATAATATTCTGAAAAAAAAAAGACACTTGCAAGAAATTTGAACGTACAGGTTTCCTAGATTTTTATAATTTTCTTCCAGTCTTTTATAAAGATACTGCTCACAACTAATTTGACAATAGTGCCTTTTATCAAGTTGACCTTAAATAGTTGTATTGATACAGTTGTATCAACTGTATTTTCATATAAATAACAAATCTCTTTACAAAAATTCATATTAACTTACCTGATATTTAATTAAGTTTTGTAATTACATTCAGAAATGCAACCAGGGAGCCTGGGAACAAATGCAACTGACTATTGATCAACATATCACTAAACTAGTGGGAGATAAGTTCCTGGGATGCTAGAGACCATTCCAGCAGCATTGGACATCCTCTGTTCCATAGACACGACTCTATTTCTTTTCCAAAATGAATAGAAACTTTGGTGATTCTATCATATCAGTTAGGTGAAGGTTCAGTTAAGAGAGTATTTACCCTACTATTGATTAGATTCAGGTAGCATTTGTTGGGTTCTTTACAATAATAATAATTTCTCACTCATGTATATGTTCAGTGGAGTTTCCAAAGTGCATTTACTTATATTACCATACTGTTAATTGAATCCTTATGAATAAGACATTTTCCCTTTTGACAGATGAGGAATAAAATTTTCAGACAGGTTGAAGTGACTTCCCTAAGATCACATAACTTGAAAATAACAGAGTGGAGTCTAGAAACTTGTTTCAGTTTTTCCCAAAGTCCAGGGCTCTTTCTGTTCTCTCAGAGCTACCTCTCTACACCAGGCAGTTGGCTTAATGAATGCCAAAGACCCTTTCAGCTCTAATATGCTCCGATTCTGTGATATATTAGCAATATCCTATATACATCTTCCATTCTATTGCTAGGAGCTAGCTACCCCTTTATAGTACTGTGGCAAGACATGTAGGGAGGAGATTAAGTAGAGGGTCCAATTAGTTTCAGATTGGTTGGGTAAATGTTTCACATCTTGGGGTTTGTCCCTCTCTCTTTTGATGAATGGCTCTTGCCTCTTTTTGACAGATTGATCTTGAGTGCTGGGCATTTTTCTCTTACCACATTAGCTGCCAGTTTTCCAGGCCATTCCCCTGGGGCAGAGATGAGGTGAGAGGTAAGTTGTTTGTAAGTATGACTTGACTGAGCAATGCAACCAGGCTGAACGCTCAGAAAGCCCTTCTGTGCTTGGAGCCTGCTTTCATGTCTTGGAAATCCTGATTTATTTCAGGACAGGGAAAATCTGAGCCGGCTTGCAGAGTGGAAATTAAAATCTTAAAACTATGTATGAAAATCGAATATTCCAAATGGCCTGGTTTAAACACCACCCTGCATCGTTGATCAAATGTAAAAGTTCTTGAAATGAAACGGGAATTTATGACTAGGTATAGGACTGGAGAAAGGCTTGACGAATATTTATGGGTAACTTCAAGGAATTCCACTGAATGTACTTTAGTCTGCTTTTGTACCCGCAAGTTTCTGCTTTGGAGATTTCAAGCCTGCAAATACTTACGAGTTGAAAAATATTTTGGTTTGGCTGTATTCTGTTAACTTCTGAATTTTGTAGGGGGTGGGCAGGAGCGAGACTATATATTTTTATTTGGATACATTTATCACACTGCTTACGTGTGTGCATATATTTTTTCCTTTAGATTTATGTCTGTGATTTTCTCGAGGACACAAACTTTGCTTTAATTATATCTGTCCCCTCAGACCTCATATAGTCTCTGGAAAATAGGGGGCCCCCATACATAAATGCTCTACTGATTCGCATTGTTTAGTTATCTTTTGTTGAGAATCTCCCTGTGCTAGGACCTGTGCTAGCTGCTGAGGGGGGTGCAGAGACAAGTAGAGAGAGTGGAAATTTTCAAAATGAACTTTTCTTTAAAACTTAATGGAATACAATTTAAAAATGCAAAGCATAAAAACAGACAGCCTTAAAAATGAATTCATTTTTGTAACCTTCAGTCAATGTCCCTACAGGTCATAGAGTGTTGCTCATCTCATATACGTGTCTCTGCTATAGGAGGATGGGACAGGGAAACCAATTTGAATTTTATTCTTCCTTTGCCCGGTGAGGGATGAGATACACACATACAACCTTGGCAGTTGGACGGATTGGTGACAGCAGTGTAAGTATCACCATGGAATTCAAAGCCTTGGTTTTAGGTACTTCCACATAAATTATTGCATTTAATCCTCTCAAAGTTCTGTAGGATTAGAACTATTACTTATACTGCTTAAAACACTGTTTCTCTTCCTAGAAGACTTCCATTTTCAATGTCTTAAAATTGACATTTTCAATGTCTTCCATTTTCAATGTGTTAAACACGTTTCATCTTTCTGGTGGCTAGCTCCAGGGACAACCCGTTCTGTGATGCCTTTTCCTTTAACTCTAGGCAAGTTTTTCCTTCCTGCTTCTGTAATACTTATTGTATTCCTCAAGCACGGCACTTAAACACTTGCTTTGCAAATAGTCTTTCCTGCATGTTGGACTGTGAGCTACTCAATGCAGCTTCCCAGGTCACAAGAAATAGTGCTTCTTCCCGTCCAGGCACTCACACTGCAGCGCTAGGGTCTTCTCTTGTCGCCTTCTCTACCTTTCCACTCCACACCCAAAGAGTCATTGAGTTCTTTGCATTTTATCCTTACATATAATGAGGAGCCTCCAACTCTTCTCTTCTCCACTGCAGTCCTTTAGGTCATGTCAATCTAGTGTCTCTTTAGACTACGAAGACAGCCTCCTGGCTGTCCCACTGCTTCCACTCTTATGGGTCATGTCTTTCCCCTGCTTATAATCCACAGACCCTAACACCACCCTCAGGACCCTGCTCTGTGTTCTGGCTCCTTCCTGCCTCTCCTGCTCCATCTTGTACACTTGTCACTATTCTCCAAACACATGGGCGTCTTCTTTGTTCAGTGCTTTTTTACTTGATGTTGTTCCTTCTGTCTGGAATGTTCTGTCGCTCTTCACCTGGCTAGCTCCTACTCAATCTTCAGATCTGAGCTCAAATGCCACACTCATAGAGTGGGCTTTACTGAGCCCCTGGGAGCCTCTTCAGAGGATTCTATTCTTTTTCTTTTCAGTATCTATCAAAATATGTATGTATTTATTTATATTTGCTGAAAGTCTGTCTTCTACACTGATGCATAGATTTTCCCCCCACTACTATATATATCCAGTACTAAGTTAGTGCCTGAGAGTAACTTAGAACTGGAGGCATTTACAAAATATTTATATAAGTTTAAATAAATAAATGAATAGATAAAAGCTACATTTTTCAAATATGATTATCACCCCAGTACTATTGAATGGGCCCCTTATTTTTGTTTAGTGTGTTTTTACCTAAGTAAAAGTAATCAAAATATGTATTTGTTGTTTTTTTTTTTCTCTCTGTGGATGGATCGTTTCTGTTCCTATAGGCTGCAAATTTCCTTTGATTCCCACCTTTCCCTAACCCTTCCCTATGAGCATTTGGAAGGTGCTAACTGCCCCATTTATGAAAACCTGAAATGCTCCATCTGAAAATGCCCTACCTCCTGCCCCCATACCTGTACGTGGTCCATCCCTGCATTCTCCAGCCCCGCATCCCCCAAGTGAGGTCTTCACTTTGGCCAGGCCTGTTCAGCAAGCCATCGTAGCCCCATTTAATATATGAGGAAACTGAGGCAAGCATGGAGTGAAGTGACTTGGCTGAACTAGCACGAAGTCCCTGGGCTACCTGCCAAAGAAGATGGATGGAACAGTCAAGGAAAGTAGGGGAGGGTTCACAGTACCCACTGGCCCGGGCTGGCAGCGAGCTAATTGCAGGTAACCACGCTTAACATCCTGCACTTGGTTTGAATGTCTTGGACATTTGAAAGGAGAGGCTGGACACAGCCAACTCACTGCCAAAACCCAAGTTCTCACTCAGAATATTTCCCAAACAGCATTTTCATTTGAAAGAAACCAAGCCAAATAAATACACACACGCTTTGTATTTTCTTCTGTTTCCCTGCCTGGGACTTTTTTTCCCCCCCTTTCATGCTCCTGACCACCTCTGACATAGTTTTTATTTTGAGGAAATGTAAAAATAATTTTCCTGTACTCATTCATCTTGCCGTCCTGAAGTAAGGTGAATTGCCATATTTTCCAGGCAGTTTTAATGCAGCAGAAACAATCAGAGGTGTTGCCCGGACTGTAGGTGCTGGATTTGAGGGCGGAGTCGGGGCAGGTGGGCTTGGCCAATAGATACGGCCGGAAGCAGGAAGCTGGAGAGCGGTTTCCGGAGCTGCCCTCTGCTGGAGTCCGCCGTGCTCTCCCGGAAACGCAGGCGGGCCACTGCGGCGGATGTCTTCCTGGCCTTGAGATGCGACTCCCACGTTGGACCTTCTTGCTCCCTGCTCCAAGGCTCCCTCTGCCCACACGGAGGCGGCTGTCGCCGTGGCTCTTTTCTGCTTCTTGCCTGGGATGCCACTGTGCTCATTCTGTTGGGACCACTGGCCAGGCTTGTGGCAAAAACAGCATTAAGTTTGAAGAGGTGTGTTACTCCACCGCCACCGTCATTTGCTCACTTTGGGAGGTAATCCAAAAGCAATGACCCTCCAAAGACAGACAAAATATGATTCATCAAAGGTCCTAAAGAATATGAGATGGTTTATTCCTACTTGTTTTCTGTTTCTTTCATTGTTCCAAGCATGATTCTATCCATTCCTCCTGCAACTTGAGTTCCAGGCCACCTTCCTGAAGGTCATCTCTGAGAATATGATTCATACTATTTCTGTGGCTTCCCTTGTGGCCTTTCCTTATTGCTGGTTCCTTACCCTTGAATGGCCTTCCCCAAGATTTCCTGTCACTACCTATCCCTCTAGGCTCAATTCTAATTCCACCTCCTCCATCCTGCAGCCTTCTCTGAAGACATTATGCCTGAGAGCCCATGCTCTAGAACTTGGATTGTCTGGGTTTGAATCCCAAGTTATTCACTTGTTAGTTGTGCAACTTAGAGCTGTTTGCTTAGTCTTTGTCTCAGTTGCCATATCTGTAAAGTGGGAATAATATTAGTATCTATTTCATATGACTGAAGAATACTTAGTGAATTAAAATGTAAAGTAGTTAGAGATAGCTAAGTACTCCATATTATCTTCTTTATAAGCTGATTTTGATTCCCATAATAATTCTTAGAGCTTCTATGCATTCCTTAAATAAATATTTTTCAAATTTGTATGTGCTAGGTGCTCTGCTAGGCATTGAAAAGAAGATAATTACAGCCTCACATGGTGTGTTTATAGTATTGTATATTTCACTCCTGTCCCTGCTTTCAGGCTGTAAAGTCTATGAAGGTAGAAACTTTCATTCATTTCTGAAGCCCTCATATAGTAGTTACTCAGTGAATATACTCTGGGTTGAGTTAAATTTTTCTATGAATTAAAGATCTACCATAGAGATGGGCACTGAAGGATCCGTATTTTACCATCTGATCATCCCTGATCTCATAGGAGATATGTAGGTATTTAATGCCGTTACTTACTTGTGAATGGAGTCATATATCCTTTAACAATAGCATGTGACAGCACATGAAGCTCATAGTTTATGTAAGAAGATAGTGTATTACCACCACCACCATTGCCATAGCTATCACTATCACTGTCACCACCATCATTACAACTGTCATCCCAACCATCACTGTCCTATACACCATTACCACCCTCTTTATCACCACCGCCATAACCACCACTACCACTATCACCTCCACCACCATTATTATCATGAACATGTATACAATGATTATAACAGCATTGACAAAAAAGTTAATAGGCATTGCTGATTTTCAAGGTTACTTAAACTTATGAGGTAGGAATTATTTTTATCCACATTTGACTGATGAGAGAAGTGAGTTTCAAATGCAATATATCTTTTAATTTACATATTTTTTCCATTTTATTTTATATTTTACATTTTATTTTATTTTTGAGACAGGGTCTTGCTCTGCCACTCAAGCCTGAGTGCAATTTTGTGATCATAGCTTGCTGCAGCCTTGACCTTCTGGGTTCAAGTGATCCTCTCACCCCAGCTTCCTGGGTAGCTGGGACGACAGGCACATACCACCACACCTGGCTAATTTTTCTTATTTTTTGTAGAGATGGGGTCTTGCTATGTTTCTCAGGCTGGTCTCAAACTCCTGGCCTCCAGAGATCCTCCTGCCTTGGCTTTCCAAAGTGCTGGAATTATAGGCGTGAGCCACCATACCCAGCCTACTTTTTTCCATTTTAGATATAAAATAATATCAATGATTTTGCAAAGTGTATTCTGATTTCTCCTCCAGATGTGCTTTTCACGATTCTTCTTATGTGCTCTGTGCCCCCAAGGGGCTGACTTCAATAGACAGTATCATCTGCTCTTCTTTATCCTGGAGTGTTCAGTGGGGTTCAGCCAATGGAAGATGCTAGTGGGAGACTGGTAGGATGGAGGAGAGAAAGGGTGGAGTATTTTTTCCAGTCCCATACTACAGTATTACAGGTATTCCAGTGGTCATCCTTCCTGTGGGACAGATTTCACCTGTAGCTACGGTTCTGTCCTGGTTCCCGAAACTGCTCTTTCTTCTTTGTTCTTCTGACCTGGGAGCAGTAACAGCTCCCAACTGTTGCTAGATCCCAGATATTTTGCTATCACTTGTTGCCTCCCTTAGCCCTGCAACACCTCTGAGCATAGTCTAATAATTAAATATATTTTCAGTTACTCTTTTTTGTATGCCATCTGTTTTGTGGCTGGACCCTGAGTGATATAATACATAATATACAATTCAAAATACAATATATAGTACAACTCATAAAAATAAGGAAGAAGAAGGGACAGGAGGAAGGAAGAAAGGAAGGAAGCAAAGATACGGAAGAAATAAAGAAAGCCAGATTTCTACCACCAAAACAAAACCATTATCATTTCAGTATATTTACTTTCAGCTTTTTTTTTCTATGCAGTTTTTATGTACTTGTTACTGTGGTATATATGTATTTATACTTCCTACTTTTTTTCACTTTATTAAGTAGTTTACTCATTTTTTTAACATTGCTTGGTCTTTATAACCATTATTTTTAATGACTGGATAATATACCCTTGAGAGTTCTTTAATTTTTTTTAAAATAATGAATGATGCATTTCTATATTTTGGTTGTACTCATGACAGATTTCCTAAAGTATGATTTTTAGGTCAAAAGCAATGATGGATATATTTTTACTCTCAATCTTATTCCCAAATTTCAAATCAAGAAATTCTATTTTAGAAGGTAATATCACTCGCATTGTCTAAAGGGGGATTTAAAACATATATGGTTATTTTCATAATTGTTTTGTTCCATATGGTTTTTGCTTTCTATTTATTTTTTTCTTACTATTTTCTTCATCTTTTATTTTCTAGGTTCAGTGCTGAGCTTGCTTTTATGATTAAGGTGAGCATTATTATTTTTTACTCCAGTCGTGGCTTTCTTAAAGTTTTTAATAGTCTAAATGCATATTTAACTAATACTCAAAAATAAAAGCAAACTCAAATTTTGATATTTTTGTGTGCCATAGGTTTTGGGGTGCATTGATTTTGATTTTTTAAAATATAGTGCATGACAAACTTATTTATCTTGCTGATCGAGTGTTTGGTATCCTCTTAGATTATGCTCTAGAGGCAAGTACCTCACTCACCTCACCCTGTTGGCCCTTATGTCCTACCTATCCACATTGGCACTGCCAGTCCTTAGTGTGGGTTCAGCACCTGGAAGGGGTATGGTGCATTCTGACTGCTCGCTGGAGTGATTTTTTATTCTATGTCTTAAACATGGAATGTTCTGGAAGAGAGACTCACTAGCTGATTGGCATGAATCACTTCACTGTCCATAGAAACAGACTTTCCCATGCTCTCCACTGCCCACTGTCTAGGTAAATGAAGCATTTCTGAGGTGACGGCTTTTGTAGATGTGCCTTGAGCCCTCTGTTTGATTATCCATTTCATTATGATTGCCTTCTCTTACACAAATACTATCTAAATATTATGACAAGAAACAAAAACAAAACAAAAATGCTGGGAGATGAAAAACGCAAACCAACAATCCATTCTTCTCTCTCCAGGATTAAGCTTTGAGCAAAAGTATAAAACAATTACGATTTTGCTTAATTGACCGCAGCTGTGCAAATAGACCAGCGCACTGGGAGACTGATGCACCGTCCCCCGCCATGGACATCTCACCAACATCTTGATAACTGACTTTGTTTCACTTTTGCCCAAGGCAAGGTGTGGGAAGAATAAAATCAGGTTCACCGGATGAGAAGGGAAGGGATATATCCTTTCATAAGTGTCAAATGGAACTTGAATCATGGGATTGGATTCTTTCATGGATCCAATTTCCGGAAGTCCCTCGTCAAGAGGGCAAGTTCATCTGGTGTCAAAATAGGCTGGCGCGGGCAGAGCAACTGTCTGCCTTTCCAGGCTTCGTTTTCCACGTAGGGGAGGGCGATTTTTTGGTCAGTTTGTGTCAGTTGTTTTAAATTTGCTGTGATTTCATTTTGGCCTTGGAAGGATGAGTGCTTGTCTTTATTTCATAGGTGGGTAGGGGTTAATGTTGGAAAGTTAACTTCTCTAACTAGTGGTGGGGATTTGGACTTCCATGGCTTGACTATGAAGTTCATGGTCTCTTATGATATCAAGATCCATAACCAGTAGATCCTCAGGGCTCCTTGGGTTCCAGCTTCTACCTTTCCCTTTCATTTCCATCTCCTACCTACATACTTTCTTAACCTCCAACACCTCTCTCCATTCTCCTGCTCTCAACTTCCCATCTCATATCCTTGTTATCTGCCTCTCTCTCAACAGCGGTTTCCCTTCATGTCTGAGATTCCTCCTTAAAGCCATGAAAGAAGCTACCAGAAAGGAACTTTCACAAAGGCAGGAGCTAATGAACATTGCGGGGTTTTGTAAAATCTTTAGCATTCCAGAAGAACACTTAGTACATAAGAAAGTGCCAAATAAATGTGTGTTAAATATAGTTTAAAAATACACACACGGACCTTGCCTTTTAAAAAAATTTTTATTTAATAAATTATTATATTAATATCATAAAGTTTTACTATAACTTTTGTTAGTGATTTCTCAGATCCCGGTGTGATACAGTACACTTAAGATTTTCCAGTTGTATTTTAGTAGCAGAATCTCGAGTCTTCAACTGCTATAATCTTTATTTTAAAAATATAATAAAAGTATATAAGGCGAATAAATAAAACTTTAAAAAAGGATTGACTCAAAATAAGCCAGGAAGGCTAAAGCATCGAAATGTATCTCGTGTATATCAGGCATTTAGCACTGTGTAAGGTCAGGGCACAAGGCACAGAGGTCAAAGCTCTGAATTTGGAATCACAAGTCCTAGTTTTACATGAAACTCCCATCAGCTCTTTGACCTTGTACAAATCCCTTGGCCTCTCTGAGCCTAAGTTTTCTCTTATTTTAAAATGAAGTGATCAAGACATCCAATAATCTTAGGTCTTTTTGAACTCTAAAACCACTGGTCCTCTGATAGTGAGTACTTATAATTAGGGAGAGTTTATATGTGCCTCAGAAGGGGCACATGTCTGCTTTGAAGGCTAATAATGTAAAACAATCTCCTGTAAACTGACTCCCTTCATACACCTCACAGAGCTGGGTCGGTGGTGGTGGTAGCTGTTACCACGTCTGCCTCCAAGGGACTGCTTGAACAGAGCCTTGCATCCTCAGTCCTGGGGACATGCTTGCATGGAAACGTGACTTGCAGGCATTGAACTGAACCCAAAGGAATGTTTCAGGTTTGCTCTTGGCAAAGTCCACCTCTCCCTGCTCCCTAACGAAGGATCAGGAGGGCCAAGAGAGGCCTCACATGGCTCTTCTTGGCTGTTGTCTCCCTCTTTAAACAATGGCTGGATGCATTCTCTAGAAAGAAGAGGAAACATATGGATTGCATTTCCCCCAAGTGCACTGTGGCCTAGGAGCGGATCAGAGGCTGGGTGTGGGGGGAGGGAGGAAGGCTTTGGCACACACACCCGGGAGCTTAGTAAAACCTGGGTCCCGTGAGAAGTGACGGGTGCAGGTAGGGGTCAATAATTAGGGGTGACCAGGTGCGCTTTGAGCCAGCTCCAGTGGGACAGGACTGTGTAGAGGACCCTTGGAAATGGAAGAGTGAGTGGAATGATGTTGTCATGGGAAACGGGGGGGGGGGGGGAAGATACGGTCATTGAGTCAGGGAGAAACTTCCAAAATTTCTGAAGAATCTTCAAGGGTCTGAATATCGAGGGATCCTTCCTGAGGAAGTGAGGTCTGGCTCTATCCTGTGCCTTGTGCAATGGGAGTGAGAGTTGGGGATTTAATTAAGTGTAATCACGACAGCTTAAAACAATGTGCATGAATGCTACTTCTTTTGCCAAATTACTCAAGACTTATTAAATGGAGAGTTAGGATGGAGCTGTCTCATTGGCATTGCAGAAACATTTGCACATGGCAACTTGGAGGGCAAGGAAGGGAAGGTGGGGTTTGTTTGAGAGTGAGAAGTGCACTTCCATTTACAACGTCCTCTCATCCATCTCTATCTTTGTGATCAACTTGCCCTCCCCCTTCGCTGCCTGAACTTCCTGCCATGATACTCAGGCTTGCAAGATCACAATCCCTCAGGATTGACAAGCTGTACAAAGCTCCCTTGTCTCATGTACTTGAGGTCTGGGAATGATCTGAAACTTTACAGTGCATTACTTATTCCAGACACTTGCGAGCCAGTCTCTGGTTTCTGACCCTGGGTGCCCATTTCTATCACTGGTCCAGAGTAAAATCGTAAAAACTAAGCAGTTAGCTATTGACATGACTCTATCCTACTAATCATGGGTACCTAATTGCCAGCATCTTCTTTAGAAAAAGTCGTTTTAGTTTACTTGTGGCACCAAGAACAGTATTAATAAATATCCTGAAGCCAGAATGACATGCCTTGTCTCCTTCCTTGGGGTCAGATTCTCTCTGGTCTCGAACTAGATTAGACTAAATCTTGCTCATCTCCCTGTGACTTGATTTTGAATTTCCAACTCCCCCTGGGTGAAGGGCTGAGTCTATTGGCCACAGTCTTCTTCCCCAAAGTTGTTTTGGTCTGACTGTATCTCTTCCTAGAGATAGGAGCTCCCAACATACCGTGTCATCCATCAATGAACTCAGCATTTAAGACTTACCCTAAGGTTTTATCTCCTGTGGAGTCTGTCATTCCTTATTCAGGAAAATTGGTGGCTTCCTTTCACTTGCTTCACACATCTATTTTGCATTTATTATATTGTATTATAATTACCTGTGAGCCACTTCAAAAGGCAGACACTAGGCATGCTTTATAATTGAACAGTCATCATGATACAGTCCTATTTTCATTCCTTGGTGTTTATTAGAGTGTATGGCAAGACGAAGGAGATCAAGAAATTTTTTGGAGTGGATGAAATATTTAGTTCAATGCTCCTACTCTTATAGATGAGAAAATGACACTCAAAGAAGTTCAATGACTTAACCAGATCTTCAGTGAACTTTTTTAGGGCAAAGACTATGTTTAATTTGTCATCATATTTCCAATGCCCAGCCCAGCACCTGGCGCATATTAGACAAGCAATACAAGTGTTGTATTGAGTTGAAAAGGAATTCTGGAAACCACAAATCTAGTTAGTGGCAGGGCTAGGGCTATAACCACGTATCCTGGCATTTAAACTCTCCGCCTATTGTAAGATTATATCATAACCAAGATGCTCAAGGTATTAAAAAAAAAGGTGACATGACAACTTCTCTTAAATTTTAGTCTTGGCAGATAGTTCTTATCTATTCTTCCTTTTTAGCGGATATCCCTCTTTTATTGTCCTGTCCAAATCATACAACACTTAAAATATGCGCTTGGCTTAACACCAAGCAAACCATTTCCTTTCTTTTTGATAAATATTCCAGATTTAAAAAAAAACAAAAAAACTTCTAAGTACCAATTCTACAATGAGATTTATTCAAGAGAGGACATCTATAAAAAGTAAAGGTTTTTCATGTCCCCTGGATGACTTGGGAACCCATGTTTTCTGAAAATACTGTGTGTACACAGATGCAAATAAATTTCTCAAGTGAGCATAGTTAAATGGAATAGTTACAGATCCTAGAACTGCAAGGGGCATCAGAAAAGAATAATGAATTATTTTGCTACTACCTTCTGCACACCAGAGGGCTCTGTGCAAATTATAACTGCCTCTGTTTCTCCCTGGAGACCAGAGGCTTCGTTAAGGAATTGGCAATCTTTTTCTGTCAAGGGCCAGGCAGTAAATATTTTAGCCTTTGCCCACCATCTAGTCTCTGTTGCAAATACTCAACTGTGCTGTTGTAGTATGAAAGCAGCCATAGACTACATGCATATGAATGTGTGGCTGTGTGCTCATAAAACGTTATTTATGGGCACTGACCTTTGAATTTCATGTGATTTTCATGTATCACAAAATGGTATTGTTCTTTTGGATTTCTTTTTTAACCATTTAAAAGTGTAAGAATCCTTCTTAGCTCATAGGCTATACAAAAATGGGCAGGCCAGATTTGATATGTCAGCTAACTCCAGGTCCAGTTAATAATAATAGAAATAATAATACTAACAACCATTTACTTAATTCCATTTACTTAATCCGTATTATGTGGCAAGGACTATATACATTTTACCACCCACTTTTCAAATGAGGCGGTAAACACTCAGAGAGGTGAATGTGGTCAATGTCACGGAGCCAGCAAGTAGGAGAACTGAGAACCAAGCCCAGATCTGTCAGCCTTAGATGCTACTCACCACGATGCCATGCTGCCTCTTAACTTAAAATATGCAGTGTAGACAGCTCTTTTATTGATCAAATTGTGGTTCAGATGTGCAGTCTTTGGGGAAGAGAGCACTCCACTGGGAATTAAGAGACCCAAGTCTTGGTACCAGCCATGCTGATAACTTCTTATGTCACCTTGGGGAAAACTTTGAATTTTCTGAGGCTTAGTTCCCTCCTCTACAAAACAAAGGGATTGGAGGAGGCCGGTGGTTTTTAAGGACAGTGGTGATTTTGTCCCTCGGGGACTTTTGGTAATGTGTCCAGACGGACACATTTTTGCCTCCATGTTGTCACTTATGACTGCATGTGTATGCTACAGGCAAATAGTGGGTAGAGGCCAGGGATGCTGCTAGACATTTTACAATACACAGGACACCCCAACAACAAAGAATTATCCAATCCAAAATGTCAATAGTTCTTAGATTGAGAAACCCTGGACCAGTGGACCAACATGGCTCCTTGCATTTCTGAGAACTTGCATTTTTTTCATTTATTTCATGTGAGTATATATATTTAATTAAAATCCAAGTCATTTCTCCTCTCTGAATCATAGATTCCTTTTTTGTTTTGTAAAACAAGATGATTAAACAATATAATCCCAGAGATTCTTCCAGCTTTAAAATGTTCAAGCTTATGATTAACAAGGGAATATTAAAAATAAATGTTGTGCTATTAAATCCAAGATAACACGAATCATTTTTATATTTTTGTCCCAATAACCAGTGCTTCTTAACTCCCTCATCCCCATAGGGCAAAGTTTGCAAATTTGAAGTCTGCGGGCTGAACTTTGCTTGCAGATGTGTTTTATTTGGCTTGTAGAAAGTACTAGAATGTTGAGCTTTAGTGGCCAACATTTAAAAGTCTGGATATTTCCAGTCCACATCCACATTTCCAGCTTTTCTTAAAAATCAGAAAACCTAGCAGTCCTGGGCTTGCTCCTTGCATGGAAGTAGATTAGCCGAAACTGAGTAAAACTGTACTTTTAGAGGGGCTAAGTTCTCCAGTTCACTAGCATTCCTAGCTCACAGGTTTGAATTGTATCTGGTCACTTTCATTTATTTACATGCCCTACGTGCCTGCTGGTCCCAATAGGTAGCTCATCTTGCTAACCTGTCCTTGAATTTTCAGTGTGCTCATGGAATGCCCAGAAATGCACATGGTGGGCACTTAAAATTGAAGAATCTTAAAATAAATAAAGTACACGTTAAGTCCTGCAGTTGGGTCCAAGTAAACAAGAGGATAAGAACAGGATGGGAAGAAAAGTCCTTGCAGCAGCTTGTAAAAAAAAAAGTCTTAAGAGTTTTAGCAGAAAGTATGAGGCAATGGTATTTTGTGTCTGCCAACTAGCTAATGTGATCCCTGGCTCTATTAGTAGGAGTGCAACATTCTGATGGGACACAGGGCAGTCCTGCTCTTCCCTCTGCTGCTCAGACGCATCTGAATCATCATCACGTTCATTCTTGGCACCACACTTGACGTGTGATTTGAACAAGGAGTTGAGCAACGGATTGGTGAGATAACTTGGAATCTCATCACAGGACTGAGATTTGAAGAAGTCAGGCCATTGAGCATGGAGAAGAGAAGACTCAGGGGGCACAGGAGGGACCTTTTCAAACACTGGCATAGGTGTTCTGGGGAGGAGGGTCAGTTAGGCACCATGACCTTCAACATAAGGCCTCAGCCCCTTCTTTGAGCTCCAGTTTTCTCTTTTTTTTTTTTTTTTTTTTGAAACTGGGTCTTGCTCTGTTGTCCAGGCTAGAGTGTAGTGATGCAAGCATAGCTCACGGTGACCTTGACACTCCTGGGCTCAAGCAATCCTCCTGCCTCAGCCTCTTGAATAGCTGGGACTACAGGTGCATGCCACTAACTCTTGGCTGATTGTTTAAAATTTTTTTTGTAGAGATGGGATCTCATTATGTTGCCCAGGCTGGTCTCAAACTCCCGGCCTCAAGCAATCCTCCCACCTCGGCTTCCCAGAGTGCTGGGATTATAGTTGTGAGCCGCCACACCTGGTCATAGTTTCCTCACTTTTCTAATAAGGGGATTTTATTTTTAACTTCCCTCCTTTCTACAAAGGAGAACTGATCTTGAAGCAAACTGTATAAATGTGTAAAATAATGAATTCAGAGCTGCTTTGGTTAGGGGGTACAGAGGATCTAGAGGCTCAGCTCTTCCTCCCAGCCCTCCAAGCCTCACGTCTGAGAGAGCTCTCCAGAGCCTCTGGGACCCCATGGTGTGCGGTTTGAAAAACTCTGATCTAGATCTCTAAAATCACTGTTAATTCCAAAGCCTTCATTTTCTATAGCTCATGATTCCTGGCCCTGAAACATCAAGAAGGCTTTTGCAATAAGCCTGAGGGTGAGGTAGGCCATCGGCAGCAGGGATGGGGGACAGACAGCCCCAGAGGAAGGAACAGCAAGGGTCACGGGGCACAGAGAACTGCTCAGTTTGGCTGAAACCCACTTTGCCTGAAGTGAGTCAATGTCCCTCATGACAGCTGTTTACTAAGAAATGCAGATGGCAGGTTTTACTGTGTTAGAAACTTTTGAAGGCTGGCACGTGTTGACACTGTGGTTTTCTCTTTCACATCAGGTTCACCTCTGCTCTCTCGACCCCCGAGGGCCACACAGTCGGAGATTATCCTTATCCCGGGCTGGAGGTGGGCCCTGCGTGGTTCAGGAAGACCTGGGCTCCCTCCTTCCTGACAGGGATTGGTTCAGGAACCTGGGCCCCAGCCAATCAATGCGCTTAGCGGCCCTGCGAGGAGGACTGTCAGGAAGGGATGCGCCACTCAACTTGTGCAATGAAAACTGCAAGGGGATGTTTGCTGAGGGGCCCTGTAGGAAAAGTTTCTTCATGTAGAAGACAGAACCAAACGGAGAGGCAGTTTATTTCTTCGTCTGGCTGCTGGAATGTGCTCATGTGTGCACAAGTGGCCTAGGATTGCTGCAGCCATTTTCTTAGCAGCCCGAATATGAAGTTGGCCCGTGGAGGAAGGCTGAGTCAGGGGAACTTTTGGAAAGTGGAGCTGGAACCACAGAACTGAGTCAAATCTGAAACCTGCTGACCTTCTGGGCTTTTCAGTATGCAAGCCAATAACTTTCCTTCTTTCCTTATTATTTTCCAGTTTAAATTGGGTTTTCTGCTTCTTCAAGCTTAGTGAATCCTGACTGATAACACCAGCTCATCTAAGCCGGAAAGGTTTCCTCCCAGTGACTGCGGGGACTTGTGTGGGGGTGCGGGGGAGGGGGCAGGGAGGCACATTGAAGAGCGTATCACGCACATCTCATGCCTGTCTCAGAGTCTCTTGGCTTCAGCTGCCTCTTGGATCCCTGACCGCCTGCTCTACTCCACCTGCTGCCGCTGTCTGACTCCATGGTAACCCACAGAGTTCAACTTCCTCAGGCCGACCACCACCACACCTGAAGTCACTGATGTCTCACAGCACTTCTGGACGCGGATGAAGACTGAGCTCCAGACGTCACATTTGGCTTCCTGAGCAGCTGCTGCAGGGGCTGGGTAATGCAGCTCGGGAGTGTGGGAGAGTTAAATCTCTGGAAGGTGAACTTTGAGCGAGGGAACTCAAGAGACGGGTGAGGGATCTGCCAGATAAATGTCCTCTCCCTTCCTCCCTCCAAAGACTGGACCAAAGAGCATCTTCCTCCCTGAACAGCCCATTTGGAAATATCTTGTATGGCTGGACCATTGCCCCTGCTGAAATGCAACACTTTGCGTCATGCTTCATCCTTCTCTACTCACCTTCCTTTTTGCTCAGTTTTGCAGCCATGAGATTATACTTTCTAAATAAAGCATTAGCACTTAATCCTTACCTGGGGCTCTGTTTCTAAGAAAAGCCACTAAGCTAGAAAGGAAAATATCAACAAAGAAATAAATTGTGGAGAGTTTAGACTATTGCCTGGGTATGGTTTCAGTATTTAGATTAACTTCACAGTAGTTGATCTATGAAGATCAACAATCCAGGTGGAAGGCACAGCATACAGTATACTGTTTAAGAGCTCAGACATGTTTAAGTCCCAACTCTGTCCTTTACTGATTATGTGATCTTGTTCAGGTTATATAAGTTCACCCAGCCTCCCTTGTCTTATTTGTAAAAAACGAGAATCTCACTAACCTAATAGGGTTATTATGAAGATTAAAGGAGATGATGAATATAAAAATGTTCATCACAGGGTTTCTCGACCTTACCACTATTGACATTTGGGGCCAGATAACTTAGTTTTGTAGGGGGCTGTACCATGCATTGTAGCACATTTGCCAGTATCTCTGGCTTCTATCCAGTAGATGCGAGTAACCCCACCCAGGTGTGGCAATCAAAAATGTTGCTATACATAGCCAAAGGTCCCATGGAAGAATCCTTTTGCCTAGTTGATAAACACTGACTTATCCTTAGCTGACAGTGAATGCTGTACAGGTGAGTGAGGCTGTCTTAGACCTCCTAGCCCAGCCAGTTTTCAGGCTTGAATGCACCTGTATGAATGAGACCCCTCCCAACCCAAACCACCAGAAAAACCATCTAACCGAAACATAAAATTGTGAGAATTGTAAGAAACCGTGAATTACTGCCATTTTAAGCCACGAACTCTTGCTGGATTTGTTCTACAGCAACAGAAAACTTAAACAAATTGGCAACTAGAAATGTGATGCTGCCTTAACAAAAGCCTCAACTATGTGGCCTTGGCTTGGGAACTAGGTGGTGGACAGAGGCTGGAAAAAGAAGAGAGAAGAGGGGTTAGGGGAGCAGAAAGGAAATTGCTACTGAGGGCAAAGAAAGAAAGGGCAACCCTTGGTATAGACTGTAGTAATTTGGAAGATAGAAAATGGACCTAATGGACCTGTTGGATCTATCTACAGAGATATTAAAGCAGATGGATAAATATACCAAATGGCATCTTCTACTGCGTGTAATACAGTATGAGAAGAGAGATGAGCTAATGAGAGAACTGTAGTATTTGCAAGCAGAATTTGGAGAAAATATAAAATAACGAAGACTTGCTGGGTTGGAAAATAAAACTGTTTTATATTTTATGTCTCCCTAGCTGGCAAAATATTACCAATGTGAAAAATGGCTTCAGAGCAAAGATGAAACCAAATCAAAGGTGTGGCTATAACACCTTTTGTTAAGATTTCCTAAGATTTAAGGTGCCTAATCCTCTTAGCTAGACAAAGAAGCTTCTAATCATCTCAATAACATTGTCCCAAAGAAGCCTAACTCCTCTAAAGCAGAAAGCAATCTGTCTCAAAGAGAATTATAGACTTGGCTTTGGGGGACAGGGAGCAAATGCTGATAAGATTAAAGGGATGAAGTTTTAAAAAGAATTATATTGCCGACAGCATTGGTAACCTGAATTTGGTACCTTGCGCTGAAAGGATTGGGGATAGTTCAAATGAAAAGAAGCTTGTGGGAGGTAGGAAACACAAGCTTCTTGAGAACGCTACCAAGATACAAGCACGAGCCATTTTCTTTAGAAAGCTAGACAAAGAGCTTAGAAGGTAGAATGAAGCGCTAGAAGAATACCCATTCTGGGTAAGAACCTGTTCCCAATAAATGAATATTTCCTACCCTTTGGGGTAGGGAGCCTGACAAGCATGACATCTGGATTTCTGAATTGCTATTAGTGACTTCTGTGTATCTCCCATTATCCAATTAGGAATGGGATTATCTTTTGTAGATCATTTTTCCCTGGTTCACTATCATATATTGAGTGTGTCTTTTATTTATTTAGAGACAGAGTTGCTGTCTTGCCTGGGCTAGAGTGTCATGGCGTCAGCCTAGCTCACAGCAACCTCAAACTCCTAGGCTCAAGTGATCCTCCTGCCTCAGCCTCCTGAGTACTGGGATTATAGGCATGTGCCACCATGCACAGCTAATTTTTCTATTTTTAGTATAGATGGGGTCTTGCTCTTGCTCAGGCTGGTCTCGAACTCCTGAGCTCAAGTGATCCTTCTGCCTCAGCCTCCCCAGAGTACTAGGTTTACGGACATAAGCCACCATACCTGGCTGAGGAATCTGCTGTATGTCTTATGTATTTGCTTCATCTAGTATCTATTTGACACACAGAAAAACATGTCTATCTTAGTCTATTTCCTGTTGCTATGGCAGAATACCTCAGATTTGGTAATTGATAAGGGAAGGAGGTTTATCCAGTTCATGGTTCTGGAGGTTGGGAAGTCCAATACTGAGAGGCCAGCATTGGGCTGGCTTCTGATGAGGACCTCATAACATGGTGCAGACACTGAAGGGGAAGGGGTATGTGTAAAGTGGGCTCAAACACGAGGAGCAACACAGCTTCCTAACAGCTCATGCTGGTGGTGACTAACTCAGTCCCGAGAGAGTGAGCACTCACTCCCCCAGGAAAGCCAGTAATCCCTCTTAACAACCTAATTACCTCTAAAAGGCATCACTTCCCAACACGGCCACATCAGGGACCAAGCCTCAATGTGAGTTTTGGTGGGAACAAACCATATTCAAACCGTGGCAATATCCAAATCTCTAATATTTAGTTATGCATTTTATGGGACAATTTTTACTTAAAGTTGAATATTTTAGAATCCTTGATTAACCACACAAATGTTTGTATTTACTCTTCTTCTCTTACCTATACAACTTTATATTACAGCAGATCAACATGTATGTTATTTGATTTGATTCTCACAACAACCCTATGTTGTAGGAAGGAAGGTAGGTACTGTTTTTCAATCTTTATTTTAGAGAAAAGGGAAACCCAATCGTACAATGTCCTTCAACCAGTGATGTACAATTAAGGTAAAGGGATTTACTCCCATGCATTCATTCTTTGCATTTTGTTTCCCTCCTCCTATAAGGTAGAAGGTATCTAGATATTAATAATTGCTAGGGTTTTTCCAGGTCTAACATTCAGTGATTTGAATGAATACAGTGTACACTATGCTATAATTCCTCTAGTGGGAAACTGAATGCCAAAAGAGTGTTAGCTTTAGCAAGTGGTTACTGAGTTGCTTGGTTTTCTGGGCAGTTTGACTAGCGGTGGGAGATCCCGTTTCAACCTCTGTCTGGGGAGGCAAACAAACCGAGCTTTAAACTCTGTTGACACATGTGTCCTGGGTGACTCAAGATTCTGACAGGAAGAGAACCACTGGAGTCCAGTTACATTATGACTGGGGGACTGCTCCACCTGATGTGGAATTCCTTGGAGAGGAGTGGTGCAATGTGGTTGGTTGAATTATGGGCACTGTCTTTAGGATGCAAATCAGCAGGGATGTAGGGCCAAGGTAGTCACTTGGACCTTGGAGTGGGTAGTTTCAAGTCGCTGAGTCAGATCTGAGGAAATGGAGGATGTCATATTCTATATTCTGCAAAGTGAAAAGTAATGAGTTGTGTAGACCACCTTTACCTTTTCCCTCTGCCACATCTCCGAACATATACCACACACCTACCGATATAATTTATTTTCCAGTGCTACAGGGCTCTCACTGTTCTCTGAACACAGATCCTCCCAGGAAGTACTTCACAGTCTTCGCAGAATTATTCTTTCTGAGCCTTGATGACCTCATCTGTACAATGGAGACAATGATATTATTTGCCTGACAGGGTCGTTGTGAAGAATGAAACGTTTAACAAAATGCCCCGCATATAACTAACACATACTAAATATTTGCTGTTTAAAAATGAAGTTACTTGCAAAAAGCTAACAGCCTCAAAATACAGAACTAGAACTATGCTCCAAGGGATCAACTAACACATACTGAGTGTCAATTATGTTTGAAGTGCTTTGCAAGGCTCTTTTCACGCACATTATCACATGGAACCCTCATAACCCTCCCAGGACAAAAGTATCTCACAAATCAAGGTTCAGAGAAGGTAAATAACAGGAGTAAGGCAGTGATGATATACCATCTTAACATTTGATTTACTTAGAATATCTTAATGGTCACAAGGAAAAAAAAATTTTTTTATGCAAGACACAACACAGACACACTTGATAAATTCTACCCCATTAAACACTTACACACTGTTGGTGGGAATGTTAACTAGTACAATGTTTGTGGAAAATGTATGGAGATTCCTTAAAGAACTAAAAGTAGACCTACCATTCAATCTAGCAATCCCACTACTAGGTATCTACTCAAAGGAAAAGGAGTCATTTTATCAAAAAGATACCTGCACCTAAATGTTTATTGCAGCACAATTCACAATTGCAAAGATATGGAATCAACCTAGATGCCCATCCACTGATAAGCAGATAAAGAAAATGTGGTGTATATATATATATATACCATATATATATATATATATGGTATGTATATGTATATGTGTATATATATATATATATATACACCATATATGTGTGTGTGTGTATATATATATATATACACATATATGCCATATATGTATATATGCCATATAGCAGTGGTCCCCCACCTTTTTGGCACCAGGGGACTGGTTTCATGGAAGACAATATTTCCATGGACCAGGGGTGGGGATGGGGATGGAGAGTGTGGGTGTGGGGAGATGGATGCTGAGAGTGGAGCTCAGGCAGTGATACGAGTGATGGGGAGCAGCTGTAAATCCAGATGAAGCTTCAGTAGCTCACCTGCTCCTCAACTCCTGCTGTGTGCCCACCCCCTCTTCCTAAGTTCCATGGAAGACAATTTTTCCACAGTCGGGGTGCGGTGGATGGGGAAGTTGGAGGGGATGGAGCTCTGTAGTCTGGGTAGCAGCCATAGAGTACTACTCAGCCCTAAAAAGGAATGAAATAATGTCTTTGCAGCAACTTGGATGGAACTGGAGGCCATTATCCTAAG